CTCAAAATTATAATGTTTTTTGCTAAACTATTGTACATATAGCAAAGGACTAAGGGGGTTTCCATTAAGAAATTGCTCTAATGCATATGATTAAATGAGGTATTTTAGAAAAAATCAATGCACATTTCTTTCAAATAACTAACTTAATTAATTTTTTTAATATTTATAAATTAGTTATTTATATTAAGGACGTGAGGTTGTAAATATTTATTAAGCTCATGAAACCACTTTGATATTATTTATAAGGTAGAGAGAAAAAAATTTTCATCCTAGCATGTCATTATATTTTTAACATTAGTTTCCCTTGTTATCCCTTATTAATGTTTGTGTATATTATTTAACTTTTAAAGTATGTATACTTAATAGATGTAAAGTTGAAAATTTATTAATGAGAAAGGGAGGGACAAAAAGAAAAGAATTATATTACTTCTTTCATTTATTTTTATAAGAAATAACTAACAAAATCACACAGTTCAAAATATTAGTTAAATTTAGTTAAAAATAATAAATATATATGTAATATATATATATATATATATATATTCTAATTATACCCTTGCTTATAAAGGGGCACGTGAGAGATAATGAGTGAAATTTTATCACAAATAAATTATAAGTAGCACCTATTTTTAAAGAGAGTGAAAACGAAAAAAGCTAATTTAAAATTTTAGATGGAAAAAAATTTATTTTATACTTAAAAGTAAAAGAAATTGTTGCTTATAACAAGAAACATACGGTGTGTATTTTATATATAACTTTCAGCTAATAATTTTATCACAAATTAAAATGTTGAGTGTAAAGAAATTTATTTGCATAATATCCACACAAAGAAGTCGGAAATTTTTTTTTGGGGAAAAAAACTCACAAGTCACTTTAATTATTTATACACATATTTTCTTTTCATTATTGTTTAGTAATTTTCAAGAAACTATTCTTCATATAACTGAAATTTTTTATCCTAAAATTTTTCATGTGAACCCAATTAACTACTAGTTGTCTCAGCAGCAATACCATCTTATACTTGAATAAAGTTTTAGCTCAGATATGATATTGATATATTTATATACGTGTGTATATTTAAATTGTATTAAAAAAAATACTAAATAGACTTGTCGTCGAAATAAAATATCTTGCTTTCAAGTCTTGTCGGCAATTTGTTTGATCGACCATATGCGGTTATGCCGCCTGGCGCAAATTCCTTTGATAACTACGTACGTCACTTTGGACTTTTCTCTAAATATCAAGCAATTATTTGTAATTTTAAAATAATTGGTTAAAATTAAAAGGATAAATTGTCTCATTCTTAAATGTACACTCTTAATTAATTTATCTCTTTAATTTATAATGTTTTTTCAAACCCTCTTTATTATTTGTACATATTAAAAGAATTTTACATCAATAGAGGAGTTTTTAAGACAAATTATTAAAAAGAATATTTTAGAAAATTACTATTATTACACATTTTTCATAAATAATAAATAATTTTTTAATTTTTATAAATTAATTATTTAGCTCATATATATGGAGGACAAAACGACTAATTAAAATGTGAGCATGTGCTTTATGTAGTGGTTGAGTCGACTAAATACCTTACGGATTTGGACGCAATCAATGAATTATCAATCAATCAATTAGTTATATAAAAGAAAAAATGAGCTGACTATTCATATATTGGCAAGAGTACAGCTTTATATCATGCACCGAAATATAGATATGTGGATATTATGTGAAGCTCAATTATATATATGCATTAAAAATCAGTTTCCTTTTTGGGCCAAAAAAGCCTTAAATTCTAACTTTAATTTGCCTTCTCTCTTTTCTTATTCAGGACTATAAATAACTTATAAATATATTTTTCTTTATTTGCCAACTTGCAGAGTATAGAAAAAATCCTCAAAAAAAAATTCTTAAAATTTCAAAAAGATATAAATCAGTGACTCTAATTTTAATAATTTCATATCGGCTCACGTGCATTAAAATGGAACTTAAAAATGTTACGTTGTTTTTTATCACAGTGCCCTCTTTTTTTTTTTCAAAAAAAAAAAGCCAACTGAACACTCTTTATATAACTGGTGTTAAAACAATTTGCCACAATGGTTATTAATAAAACCGCCGTGGAAAAATCAATTTTCCACGACGGTTTTTTAAAGAATCATCGTGGAAAGTAAAGTTTAAACAGCGGTTTTATTAATAACCGCCGTGAAAATTTAATTTTCTATGACGGTTTTTTACAAAACTGTCGTGGAAAATCTTACAACTACTGTGTTTTATTTACATTTCAACGTCGACTGTATCCACTTCGCCTCCAAAACCGTCATGAAAAACCCTTGATAATCGTCGTTAAAAGCTTTTTTTTCTGGTAGTGATCATATTCTTGCACTAAGAAAATCTACGCATCATATATATAAAGTATTAATAAAGAGGATAACATGAGGAATAGTGAAGGGAGGGATAATACAAGGGCTGATGCAAAGCAGGGAACGAATTAAAATTTCGACAATATTTAATTGTAAAGGAAAAGAATTAAATTTAAGAAGGTAGTTGTGACTGACTGACGGTTGAAACGAATGAAAAGCAACAGGTGGATATCCGAGAGACGCCAAGGTTGAAGGGACGACTAAGTCAATTTAGATTTTTTTTAATAATATATATGAAGCAATTGTTTGTATGATTGGAGTGGATAAAAAGGCAAGAATAAATTACATTACATCTTGTCCTTAATATAAGAGTTAGACAACTAATTTATAAATATTAAAAAATCAATTAAGTTAGTTATTTATAATAAATAAATGTTAAATTTTTTAAAATATTCTTATTAATCTGCATTAGAATATAAATACTTTATCGTGTGCAATTATCATAGAGACTATTTTAAAAAATAAATAAATAACTATAAAAGGCAAAGTAGATTAAAATCTTATATTTAGGATCACACTGAAATATAAAAAAATAAATTAGATTCCGTTGTGATATGTGAGCATACTAAACTGATATGTCAATATTATATGATGATGACGATGCAGATCAATGTTCATGGGAAGACTCGCCGATGAGGGATATGGATAAGCCGGGAGTGAAATGTCCTCCTGGTTCTCGTCGTAATACTCATTGCCGTTCCAGCATCAAACCCTATTCCAAAAGCTCCATGTGGTCTTAATTCCGATCTTTTTTCAAATAAGTTGCTGTCTTGTTTCTGATGTTACCCCATCATATGACTAAATTGACTAATTGAGAGAGATTAAGAAAATTACTAAATTACTTTAAAGTATTTATACTTATAGTTTTTTTTTTTCAACTAATTCATCTCACTTATAACAACAATAACAAAGACTTATCCCACTAGGTGGGGTCAGCTATATGGATTGCACGACATCATGGAGCCTTATCCAAAGCCAAATATTTAGATAGATTGTTAATTGAAAGATCTCTCTCAATAACTTTATTAAGTGTTGTCTTTGGCCTTCCTCTACTCTTTTTTAGAGGACTCCATACTGTTTGCGCAACTCTTCTTACCAGCGTATCCCAAGGCCTTCTTTGCACGTGACCAAACCATCTCAATCGGTTTTCTACCATTTTCTCATCAATAGCAACCACTCCAACTTTTCCTCTTATATGTTTATTACGGATCTTGTCTTTTCTTGTATGACCATACATCCATCTCAACATGCTCATCTCAGCAACTGCCACTTTATGTTCATGATGTTGTCCCTTTAAAGCAATTCGTCTCACTTATAAATTGATATATAATCTAATAATACACATAAATGTGTTAGAAAATCATAAATATATGCTATAATTAAATAATTTGTAACTTCTTTAATCTCCTCAAATTAGTCAACTAGGTTTTATATTAAGAATTAGAGGCGGTACCTTTCTAGAGCTGCCTAAATAAGTCATACATATATGTTTGCAGCTTTTAATGATTATTTTTGTTATGAAGAATAATGTCTTACTACCTTGATTTCATGGGGTCCAGGTAAAGATTGCTCATGAATTCTATATAATTTTGAGTGTACGTGAGACATATATAATTCTTAAGTTTATGTGCTGGTGTTGTACTTGAAATAAAGAAGAGGCCTCCTGGCTTCTTTATTAATTAATCAATACAGTTACTTCTCTGCGGGTAATTTTTCTTTTGTTTTGGCAAAGACGATGAAAGGTGGTAGTGGAGATCTGCCGGGGAATTGAAGAGAGGTAGGGCCAGGCGGGATATTTCTGAGTCTTCTTTTTCTGAGAAAGAGGTTAAGGGTGAGGAAGAAGACAAGGCAAAGGATTGAATAATTGATAATGAAATTGTGGACATATTTTTGCTTCATACTTTGATAATTCATGTGCTTTTCTTTAAAGGGACATGTGGGACAGATGGATTTTATTATATTTTGTTTTCTCTTGTCTAAAGTCAACTGTGCTGAGTCACATAAGATCACTTCAAAGTATAACTTTCTCCATTAGAATAACTTCTTGTATTATTTTAAAATATTTAATTATTATTAAAATATATAAAATATTTAATAAGACTAAAATAACAACAGACGAGTGTATATTGATATTGGCAATTTCTTAAAAATATACTTATATTTTGGTCTTATCCTTTGCCAATATAATTTAGTCTTTATTTATAAGTCAACTTTTAGAAATCTTTCATGGTTTTTTTGATAAGCCACATGGGAACTGACCAAGGGGTTCTAATTTGAAATTTTTAACTAATAATTTTTAAATAAAATATGCAAAGGGAGATATTTTAAAGTGTGCTGATATGCTTGGACGAGAAGCCCACATGGGAACTGACCAAGGGGTAACCCAGACTTGTCAAGCAGAGGTGCTTATAGATCAGAAGAGGAGGATGGAGGAGAATCTTACTCCTCATAACTGATTTATTTTGACGTTTCTCAGGCTTCAGCTTGCCTGTTTGTAGTAATTGGAAAAAAAAAGGGGGTAAAGATATAATAATTTTAACCCTGATCTTATTTTCACGTGTAATTTTAAAGATATTTTGGGATTTTCTCACAATTTCTTTGCTTTTGATTTTTATTTTTCGGTAGAGTAGAGACTATAAATAAGTGATAGAGCAGCGAAGTGTGAGCATACAAAATTACTGGAGTGCATTGTGCCCTCTCTTTCACTCTCTACACTCTCACAATGAAGAAGGCTATTCTCATTGCTTTTATTATTCTGGTTTCCGTATTTCTCTGCCTTCCCTCTTCCACTCATGCTCGAGCATTATCAGGTAACAACGTAACTTCTTCCTTTAAATTTGCAGCTTCTTATCCTTTTCCCAATCTCATTTACTGTGACTCTCTTGTATTGCCTTGATTAAGATTTATTTTGCCAAGATATACATATGATATGATGATAATATGCAGAAAGGGTAGAGTCAGTTACTGGGGGAGCACCAATAAGAAATAAGCCAGCAGTTCCATGTTCTCCTGGTAAAAGATATACTTCTTGCATGCCAAAGACGAAGCCTCCGAGCCCTCCATGCTCAATCTATGTCCGAGGCTGTTCACCACCTGGGAATTAGATATAACAACAATGAATAATTAGATATGATGATAATTATGTTTCTTATATTTTCTAGCTAGCAGGGAACGTATGTAATAATTGTATTTAAAACTTTTAGGTACTGTTTAATTTCTGGGTTGTGTGTATATGTTTGTTGCAGCTTTTGATTTCACTTGTCTCTTTTGAAGAATAACATCGCTATTCCCGACTTGGCTTTCTCTGCAGGAAGTACGGTTGTATTTCGCTTACAGTCCGTTTGGTTCTCTGAATCGGAGAACATGGAATGATTACGAGAATTTGTTTGGTATATAATTAAGAAAAAATGATGCACAGGCATATTAGTTGAATTACAGCCAACATGGGAATAGATAAGAATAATAAACGAAGAGACAAAATCATCCGATCAATATATATATATAATATATATAATATGAATGTTTTTTTGCCAAAATATGCAATAACTCTGTTCATATAAATAATAAATTAATTGACAAAATTAATCTAACCCATATATGCAATGAAAAAGTGAACTTTTTATCAATTGAAATTGTGTTTATACATATAATATAATAACAAGTATAATGGAACTAAGGGATAATGAAATTTTTATTAATTAAAATTGCGTCTAAACTTTAAATGTGTGTATTAATAATCAGTTTAATTTCTATATAAACGGAAGCTTTTTTTTTTTTAACCAGCATATATAAACCGAAGCTAAGCCAATAAATGACCGATAGGTTTATGAATCTTTCACCAAAGGCACTTTGATCAATTTAAAAAGGGAAAATTTTCAGTTAGTCCCTTCTAAATAAATTTGTTTTCCAACAACCCCCGTAACATTCTAAAACTTCATTGCACTTTCTTTGACCAAAATGAAATTAAATGTTATGGATGAAAAGACAATTATGCCTTATATTATTTCGGAAAAAAAAAATCAATCACCACCAAAGCTCTGGTGGCCAGCTAGCTGACTCCAACTTCCAGCACCGAGGCCGATTGCCAGAGCTCTAGTGACTGGAATTTTTTTTCAAATAAGGTCATTAGAGAATTTGAACTCACGACTTCTTGATAAACCAAAAAAATTATAACTACCAAGCCATTCATTCATTTAACCCCGTAATGCAAAGGAAATATATAGATTTTATATATATGACAAAAACAAATTTAAGTATCCCAGTAAAATAAGATGATTTACAATACAAATTAGGTAATTTACAAAAAGCATATAGGAATTCACAACTCTATTTGAGGTTTTATGAATGAACCATTGGAATAAGGCTTTACAATATAAATTAGGCAAGTTACAAAGGGTATGTGGCAATTCATGAATCCATTTAAGGATTGCATGAACATCTGAAATAAGAAAACTTATAAGACAAATTATGCAATTTATAAGAACTATATAAGAATACACAACTCCATTTGAGGTTCTATAGAGAGAAAAATTAAATGTCAATGATTGGATGAACAACTCAAATAAGATGATTTACAACACAAATTAAACTATTTAGAAAGATTTAAGAGCGATGCTGGTAAATGAAAAGACTCCCACAACTTGGCCAATATTTGATTGTAAATGAAAGGAATTCAGGAATGGTGGGTGTGACTGTTGAAAATGATAGAAGGCAGTGAGTGCATGGGAGGGGCCAATGTTGAAGATAAGGTACGACCAAGTCAAGTCAGATTTTTACTTTTAAGTAAAATATTCTGACCACTCTTCTGTTTTGCTTTAATTACACAGATCTTCCATCTATTTTGATAACATATATTTTAGTCCAAACCATTAATATCATTAAGGAATATTCTAATAAGATTCTTTACGTACATTTTTTAATTAAAAAAATATTAGAATAAACCTTGTTTCCTACTTTACCCCTCATTATATTAAATATATGGTTTATCTTTTAATATTAATATTTATTAATAATCTATTTAATATTTTTACTAAATTTAACAAATTAAGACATAACTTTATAATTTTATTGAAAATAAATATATACGATTACAAGACACTTTTTACTAATATATATTTAAAAAATTACATCACAAGTAAGTTTAAATAAATAAACAAGATTTATTGTAAAATAAAAATCTGTATTTATAAAATTAATAAAATTTATAATATGGTAATCAATTCAATAGTATAACAAAAAATATTAAAATATTTATTAAAATTTTTTTAAATTTTAAATATAGATGTATGATATGTCACTAAATGATAATTATTAGTAATTAAGAAGGGATAATTTGGTCAAAATAATGGATCAAATCCTATGATTTAACGGTTAACTAACGGATTGGTGGATAGGAGTTGAATCTCAAAATTAGAAAAGAAGTTTGTGCAATAGATATTTTGATTTTAAAGAAGGTCCATATAAGTTTCTAAAATAAAAATGAGGTTTTTGTAATTTAGGTTAAATGGAGGGGAGTTGATGTATTTTACTTTTTACTCTTTAATATAAATAAATATATATTATGACTTTTTAATATAAATATATATAAAGCAATAATTTGTACGATACTATGATCGGATTAAAATGAAAGAAGAAATTGCTTGGATCGCAAATTAGCCAGCTAATGACGTTTAAAACAACGGTTTAATAACAATTAGGTCCCCAAAAAGTGTTTTTAAAAATAAGATACAGATATCTATTTATTTAGTTAATTGTCAGAGCTAAGAAATAGGCAGGCCTGGCCCATATATATGGGATCAGGTCCAGAAGCCATGGTGCCGCAAATATAACCATTTTCTGATACCCAATCTTTATTATTGATCAGGCACTGCCTCCGAGATGCTTTTCTTAATTTATTTTTATTTTTTTAAAAAACTAAGTTTCACATTAAAATGTTCTGAAGTTTAAAACGAGTTAAACAAATCCAAGGTTTTAAGTATAATCACATATTCTAATAAAATCTAAATTTTAGTCCGGAAATATAAATATTCCTTAGTTCTCATCCTGGTTATTCAAATAATAATTTAATTTAGCCCTAGTGAGTAGCAACTAGTTACAAGGAATTAGGATGTCGCAAGGGGTGATGCAAGCTAGGGGATAAATTAAGATTTGGACAACATTTTTTATTGTAAATGAAACAAATCAAATTTAGGAAGTGTGGTTGTGACTGTGCAAAAGGATAAAAGCAATCGGTGGGTGGGAGAAACCAATATGTTGAAGAGCATATAATACAAATCAATTATACTTATTTGTACCAGCTGAAAGCCCTTCATTATTTGTTTCTCTGGCAAAAAAACAGAAAGCCCTTTATTTCAATTGTGCTCCTCTCTCGTAGGCCTCTATAAATAGAGGGGAAGGTTAAGTGTAGTGCAAGCATATACAAAAGCCAAATTAAAGGAGTTATATGCGTGTGCGTGGCTGTAAATATGAAGAAGGCTATTCTAGTTTCTTTTCTCATCTGGGTTTCTACATTATTTCTCTTCCTTTCCTCTTCCACTCAAGCACGTCTATTACTTGGTAACAACTTCAACTTGATTTGTTTTGCTTCTTTATGTTTTTCCCCTATCTCATTTACTATATGTGACTAAATTGCCTCAATTATGAAATTATTGTACTCCTCCTGTCCTAAATATAGAAGCTAATTAGAGAGTTGATTTTAATAATAAATGTAAGAGCTTAATCAATTTCATCTCTCATATTTATGATTTTTTTTAAGTTGATTTATCTTACTTATGAATTGACATGTCATCTAATATTTTATGAGATCAATATTTTAAGGAAATCAAGTCACATTTGTTAGAATTAATTTATTTAACTCTCTTAATTTATCTAAAGTAGTTAAAAAGTTTTTGCATTAAAGATAAGATAAGTATTAATTAATTATTGGGTTAATACAACTTTTAGCTTTTAAAAATTTGAATTTATTTTATTTTTGGTCCCTCAAATTTAGAACGACTTTTGTACCTGAAATTTACTGCACCTATAAATATTAGCCCCTATAAGTTTAACAGTGTGAGTAAGATGAGTTGGCATTCTTGTTGCACAGTGTAAGTAAGATGAGTTGGTATTCTTGTAGCTTATATGGCAAAAAGATTGATAAGAAATGTTGCTGCTCTCCTTTTGCTTTGCGTTTCGAAGCCTTTTCTTTTGTTTTCCCCATATATCCACATAAACTACAAGTGTCAGCTCATCTTACCCAGTCATCACCACATCATCAAAATTAATGATGTTTGTGCCAAATCAGCAATATTTAACACAATTTAAACTCACTTGGATTGACATTTACGAACGGAGTAAATTTTAAGAACCAAAACTAATTTCAAATTTTAAGGACTAAAATAAAAATGATATCAAATTTCATGAATTAAAAATTGTATTAATAACCTTTGATTATTTTTCGTTGTGACATGTGAACATATTATTAAAAATTGATATGTTACATTGATATGTGTATGTAAATATTATATATATGATGACAATGCAGAAAGGGCATGGCTAACCTCGCTAGCGACTTATAGGAATAGGTCTGTTGCAAAATGTCCTCCTGGTTTTTGTAATCCTCAGTGCCTAGCTTGTTCCATCAATCCCAATTCCAAAAGCTCCGTGCGATTACTATAGCCGTTACTATAGCCGTGATTGTACGAAGTAGGAAAAGAAATATGTGAATGATACATATATTAGTAGTCGTAGTAATAATACTCCTTTGGTTTTAAATATAAAAACAATTTTATAATGTAATACTCTCTAATTTTAAATATAAGACCCACTTTGTAGTTTTAGGAGCATTATAATTAAATAAATTGCTGTCCTGTTTCTGTGCCAAGTGTGTTTACGGGTGCCTCGTGACAGCTTTTCATTATCATTTCACTTTTAAAGAATAATGTCTTCCCGCCTAGATTTCATGGGAAGTCGAGCTTAACGTTGCCCATGAATTCCATGCACTTGTAAGTGTGAAAAATACTATCTCCATTCTAATTATAAGATTCTATTTATATTTTACAAATAAAGTCTTATAATTAAGACCGAAAGTAGTATATAATAATCCTTAAGTATATGCAGAAATGACAGGGGTAGCCTCTCCAACCACGGATAAGAAATATATGAATGATACGTCTAAAGTATATGCAGATAATAATATAAATATAGTCCTTTTGCTTGGAAGGACCATTATTAAATAAATTGCTGTCTTCTTTCTAATATCTTCTATAGCTTCCTATTAATTTATGGGAGAATTATTTTA